CCATTCTCAATAACAAGTTAATGATTCACTTCACCAACTTCAACCATTCTCAATAGCATTGAAAGAAATGCTAAAAGCAAAAGGACAAACACAAATATGGAAAACAATTAGTCATGGCTCATGATGGGTAAAGATCAGAAAAGGCATGAGCTTGTGTTGCTTTTTGGATCATTTGAAATGTAACTTGCTTATAGATTCAAAAAAGAACTCACCCCATCATCACCAATTGCCCTCTTTGAAATTTTAACTTTTTCACTCTTGGAAGAAAAAGGCACTGGAATAAGAGAGAAGCTTGAAGGCTTCAGTTAAAGATTATTCTGAACCTAGCAGGAAGAGCCAAAGGCAGCGTTGTTTGCAAGGTGCAAGAGTTTGAGGTAAAGAGGGCCAAATGGGTGAATTGATAGGGAGGGAGGACGGTGTGTGTTTGTGTGCTTGGTGGAGATGTTGATAGGGGATGCATGAGAGAAATGAGCTGTATGGAGTGCACTTGGCTTTCTTTCTTCTTCCTTAGATGGAAACTTCTCTCCCTTTTTTTTTGCCTATCTTCTTTTGTTCATTATAGGCAAAAGAAGGCTCCATAGTTCATTTCAATTTGATTAAATTTCAGTGAAGTATGAGTTGTTTTAAGGAACACCCTGTTTTAGTTAGAAATCATATTGTTTATTTGCAAGAAAAATGCTTAAAATGGGAGGGGGATCATTGAAACTTAGGATTTGGAATAGGATCGTGGAAAGAGAAGGTTAGTTTTTTGATATCCATTTAGGGTTCTAGTTTTTCATTAAGAAAGATTCATTAGTAGATTTTCATTTACAAGAATTTGTTAACCGTTGAGTAGTTTCCATTATGAAAAGTTTAGCCAACTAGTTAATCTTTAGAGTGAGTTTGTTAGTAGTTTTTCGTTAAGAAAAGTTCGTTAAGTACATTTCTTTAGAAGAGTCCCTTAAGTAGTTCCTCAAATAGTTCATTCTCAAGAAGAGTTTGCTGAATAGTTCCTTGGCTAGAGAAAATTGATTTAATAACCATGACAGGTGATACAATAGGGATGGTGCTTCCCTTGTCAAATCCTCTCCACCCACCCAAGGATTCGAATTTGAGACCTCCAATGTGGTTCCTAAGAGACATACTACCTATTATAATCTATAAGTACATTGCATATCGCCCGCCACTATGTTTAAGCAAGAGCTGACTAGGTTACCTTTTATGCAATATTCTCTGTAGCCAACAGGGAATTTCTACCATATTAGTAGAGTTTCCAAATATGAGAGCAAAATAAGGCATAGCATTGACTTTGATAGGAATTGGAGATTATTTTCCATTCCAGGTTAAACTTTATGGCTAGTCAATAAAACAAATCCAAGCAGTTAATTTCTTGTCATTACAAAAGTTAGGTAGTTGGAGGCCGAATTGTAGGCATAAATTACCTTGGCAATTTATCATGTGGGGCCCACACATGATCAATGGCCAAAAAAATTTAAGAGTCTAACTTTCAGCCCCCAAATCAGTTCTCAATAATCAATATACATAACATGATACAAAATGAGAGGTAGAATTCTCTTTTTCTTTAATCCACTCAATCCAAATTTCAGTGTCTAATCTCTTATCCTATCAGTTACAATTCTTGAAACAAATACATTTCCCTTTTTCGTTCTCAGGCAAACCATCCTACTTTATCTCTTATTCTCTTTTTGTTCTTTTTCTTTTTCTATTTTTTTGTGGACATCATCCCACTTTGTTTTACTTTTCTCTTCTTTTAATTGAGTTAATGTAGAAAAATTACATTTAAATCTTTTAAAAGGAGTAAATCAGTAGCAGAACAAACAACCCTTTCCATGCTTCTTACTTAGAAAATCAAACAACAATTAAAGCTACAAGAATCTGTTTTTTGATTTAAACATTTTTCCCTTGTTCTTAAGAATTAAATTAACAGCCTAATAATCAACAACGGTATGCTTTATCATCTTATTTCTACAGCTTTTCCACCTTAACAATGCCATGCCTTATTGTTCACATGACACCAAAAATGATATATGGTACATAAGGTAAGTGGGACCAAGATGATGATATGGCTGCCAAGTAGGATTATGCCACTCGGCAGCCATATCATCATCTAGGTTCCACATGCCTTATTTACCATAAATCAAAAAATCTTTTCCTCAGCAAAAATATCAACTTCCAATAACATCTTTCCTTGATAAAATACTGATTTTTATAATTTATTTTTCAATATAAATATGAAGTCTAAAAAATACGCACAAAACCAAACACAGGCATCACCATCTTTTAAAATTAAAACCCTTGATTCCATACCTTTCTTCCCTAGCATAAAAGGTTAAAGGAACCTTTATTTTGCAATCCGAATAAAATATATGGAATGGTTGCTGTTCTTGATTTGCAATCCAAAATGCCATCAAACAAACAATTAAAAGGAACTTTTTGAGCTTCTAAAGTCTAAACCATTAAAACTTAGTAAACTCTGACTCATTGACAATTAGCTTCTAAAATGATATCTCAGTGTGAAGTTTTCCAACTCTAACTCTAAATGCCTAGTTCAAATGTTCCCTAGGGATGTCCCAATGGTTAAAAACTTGAGTCTCCATGTTGGAGATCTCAAGTTCAAATCCTGAGGAGGGGTTTGGGAAGGGGATCCCTGTTGTATAACCCATATACCAAAAAGAAAAAAGAAAAAGCATTTGAGCAAAATCACAGCTTATCACAATTAACAAAAGAGATAATGGCACTATCAGTCTCTAAACCCTCTAACTTTAAGTACTTTAGTTCCTATACTCTCAACCTTCAAGCACTTCAAATGTCAGTTATTTCATCAAAGAATCAAACCAAATTTCAAATGATGGAAAAATATAACCTGTTTTTTTAAACAAATACCTGTATCGTGGTAACAGCTATGGGTGTCCATGAAGCAAACTCCAAAACAGATTCTTCTTCTTCCCATTGCCAAAATGGTTGTTCAACTAACTGGTGTAATCAACGGTCCTGTGCTGCGAACACCCTTTTCTGGAAAACTCCTTTCTAGCGGCATCTTTTGTAACCAGAATAACGAATGAGGTAAAGTCCATGAAGATGATGAGTCCCACGATGAGGAAGAACATCGGGGTCCAATAGATGGGAACCACGAAATTGTTTCTGCGCAATGTATCGTTCAGCCCCAGCAACGAGATCAGGAACAAGAACCCGCCTGTCATCGGCACTAAGTGGGTCTGCACTTTTTGATACCGTTTGCCGCCGCCACCGCCGCCACTGCCACCGTCATGGAGTGTGAAAGCCATGGCGACGAGGTTCACGAACTCGACGATGATCGCGAATCACTGGAATTCTTCCAATTAGACGGCGTCGCGAAAAGGGTTTGCTTTCTTTCTTTCTTTCTTTCTTTCTTCCTTCGCGAACACAGAGCGCAACACAACTTGTGGGACCCACCCCAGTCCAAGTCAGCAGTTCCACAAAATTCCAAAACCAAACTTTTTAATTTTTTTTGAAAAATATTGATTAATTTTTTTTGAACAATTTGAAATTATTTAGAGGTTAACTGAGGGAAGAAGGAAAGGGAAGGCAGAATACCCAAATCCACCCCCAAAGTATAGTGACAGGGACGAATCCACCCTCGAATAAAAAATGGGGACAAATCCACTCACAAAATTTTCGACTTGGACAAATCACCCCAAATTTAACGTGTAACGTCATTTGACATCAGCAATTCATTAATTCGTTAACGGATTGCTGACGTTAAATGACGTCAAATTAACAGATTGCTAATGTCAAATGACGTCACACGTTAAATTTGGGGTGATTTGTCCTAGTCGAAAACTTTGTGGATGGATTTGTCTCCATTTTTCGTTTGAGGGTGGATCCGTCCTTGCCACTATATTTTGGGGGTGGATTTGGGTATTTTGCCGAAAGGGAATCCATGAGGTTCAAACATGCAACTCACAGGAGATGAACAACCCTGACCCAAGATCCAATGCTAGGATCAGAGCGAGCCATTTGAAAAATATTGATTAATTAATAAATATAAAAAAATATTTTACAATTGAAATTATAAAATAATAATCTTTAAATAAGAGAG